CCGAGGCGGCCCACGGGAGGGGGCGTGTGCCTGAGGACCGGGGCCAGTCCGGAGCCAGAGTGGCTGCGGCTGCTGCGGGGAAGAAGGCTGCAGCCGAGGGGCATGAGGGGAAGGTGCCTGCCACGGCTGAAGCCACCAGAGCCAGCAAGGAGCCGGGGGAGGGACCTACTGGGACGAGAGCATCCACACCGCAGCAGGTAGGGCCCTCTACTCCCAGTGCCCGAGCCCCCAAGATGTCTTCCTATGCGGAGGTCATGCAAGCCATGGGAAGCACACGAGTGGGGGAGCCAACCGCCAAGGAAGCCCCCAAGCCTGCTGTGCCTGCCCCTGCTGAGCCCCCAGCACCAGCACCTACAGAGAGGAAGGAGGCAAAGCCCACAGGCTCCTCCAGCTCCCTACTCATTGAGGACATTGACTCGGAGGAGGTCTTCGAGGCCAAGTTCAAGCGGAGCCGGGAATCGTCCCTCAGCCGTGGGCTGAAGCTCCTCACCCGCTCGCGCTCTGAGGACCGGCACTTGGCCAGCCCCTCGTCCCGTGATGAGGGCATCTACCGGCCTACACCAGCTGGTGTGCCCCTGGAGCTGTGCAAGGGCCGTCCCACTGCCTTGGCAGAAAAGTCCAAGTCAGTGCAGGACCTGCATGAGGCGGAGAAGGATGGTGGCTTCATCCGGAGAATGAGTCTGCGCCTAAAGCGGACACCGCCTGTGGAGAGGAAGAAGACCAAGGGGGAAGAAGGAGGAGGAGAAACCCCGACACGTGGGCGGCGTTTCTCCTGGAGCCTGGGCTTGGGTAGCTCCAAGGAGCGCAGGGACTCGGAGAGCCTGAAGTCAGAGACGGGTGCTGGCGAGAGCGAGTCGCCAGTGGTGGCTGTGCGGAGGAAGATCAGTGCCACCATGGACCGGGTCTCCTCACGGCTGCGCAGCCTCTCGGACGAGCGGCCAGAGGATGAGGGGGCCAAGGAGCATCCAGAGAAATGCCTCTCCCTGCTTCGTCGGGCCAATTCAGAAGGGGAGAGCCTGCGGCAGGTGGGGGTCGCAGCGCAGAATCAGGTGGGCCCCCACCCAGCACTCGCACCCTCCTCTGAGTCCCTGCAGTCGGAGGGCAGCACCCGCTCCTCCGCCTCTGCAAAAGGTAAGCTGGGGGGCTGCTGGCATCCCTTGGTGGGTGGTGCTCACCCTGGGACGGACCCTGTCCTGCCCAGGTCCTTGGGCTGGGTGCAGCGGGGCATGGCCATCCCGGGCACCCCAGCTTTCCCCTGTCCTCGGCTCTCAACTGCCTCTGATGTGCGGGTCCCCGGTCTCCACAGGTGCCAGTGAGAGCCAGAAGCGGTCCCGCTGGGAGCGCTGGGGCCTGTCCCGGCCCAAGAAGAAGGTGGCCTCACAGCCCAACATCCCGTCCAGCCTGCAGCAGGAGGATGGCTTCACTGCGGGCCGGCAGCACCTGCACAGCGAGTCTGGTAGGCACAGCCCTGGTGAGGACACGTCAGTGTCCTGCCACCCACCACGGCAGCACCTGCAGGAGCTGGGCTGGGACGGGATGCAGGGGCTGTGCCCAGGGCTCACAACCCCTCTCTGCAGCTCAGGGGCATTCACGGCCAGGCTCAGGGACCCCAGGGCAATCCCTGAGGACGAGGAGAGCCCTGAGCGCTGCCTGCAGCTGCAGAGATGGGGACAGAGATGGGGACAGGTCCCTGCAGAGCTCTGCCTGCATGCCCTGCTATTGCTCCAGCCTTACCCTGCCCTTGTGCCTGCCTCTGCTCTTCAGATTTCCCCCCTGTTTTCCACATCAAGCTGAAGGACCAGGTGCTGTTGGAGGGTGACGCGTTGACCCTCTGCTGCCTGCCCGCTGGCAGCCCGACCCCCAGGATCGTCTGGATGAAAGGTGGGGGCCTGCTGTGGCGTGGTGTGGGCCTGCAGCCCGGCGGCTGCATGCGCTGCCTCAACAGGCACGCGCACAGGGGGACCCAGCACCCAGCATCGCTCTCTGCTCCCCCTTGCAGACAAGCGGTCACTGCAGTCAGACAACGTGCTAAACATCGTCTCCTGCAAGGACGGCCGCCAGATGCTCACCATCTCCAAGGTCTCCAGGAAGGACGCAGGGCTGTATGAGTGTGCAGCCGCCAACACCCTAGGCACAGCCATCAGCTCCTGCACACTGGCTGTGGCACGTAAGGACTCTGGGGGGACCTTGGGGGATAGAGTGCCGTCCTACAGGGGACAAAGAACATCCTGGGCTCTGGGGATTGCCTGCTCCAGCTGCACAGTGCCCAGCACTGGGCATGGCTGTTAACTCAGATGCCAGTGGCACAGAGCCTGAGGGTTGGGGGCACCCATCAGAGCACGTCACTTGATATCTGGCGGTGCGGGGACCATCACAGCTGCCCTGTGCCCTTCCCTCACAAGCTCCTGATTAGCTCTTCCTAATCAGAGCAAGGCTAATTTTGACCCTCCTGCTGCCATTTGCTGCAGCAGCCCCCAGCTCACCTTCGCACTCCAGCCCCTGCCTGCTCTGCCCTTGCTCAAGCCCCAGCTCTGAGCACCACCAGAGCCTCGAGCATCTGCAAAAGAGACTGGGACTTTTAATCAAAAGAGACTGGGACTTTTAATGGGGGGACAGGCTGTTTTTCATGGGCATCTCCAGCCAGGCCCCATGTGTCCGAGCCCACATGCTGTGCTGCCCTGGCTCTGCAGCCGATCTGCCTTGCCCCTGGCCAGGCACCCCAGCCTGCCCTGTCTGTCCCCTCGTAGGACTTCCCGGGAGGCCAGGCACCCCGGAGATCCCCCAGAAGTACAAGAACACGGTGCTGGTGCTCTGGAAGCCTGCAGAGAGCAAAGCTCCCTGCACCTACACGCTGGAGTGCAAGCTGGACGGTACGTGGAGCTGGCCCCAGCTGTGATCCGGACTGCTGAACGTGTCCAGCTCCTGGCCAACCCATCCCACTTGCTCCAGGGCACCTCCTCGCTCTTCCCTGCTGGCTTGGCTAAAACCCATGGGTTTGGGGGGCCAGGGCACAAGAACTGGGCAAAGGCAGGCAGAGCAGAGCCCTGCTGCCTCCCCCTCCCCGTGCATTTGCAAGCTAGTCTCTTGGGTCTGAAGCCCACACTGGAGACACCGTGGTCGTGGGATGGCCTCTGGGAAAGGTCTGCACATTCAGCCTGCATGCTCGCTTCTGCTAATGGGCAACCCCAAGGGGGAAAATACTCTGGGAGGTTAAATGCCTCAGGGGGGCTGAAACATTTCACATTTTTCTGGAAGCAACATCTGGAAAAAAAGCACCTGGTCTCACCCAGTGACACCAAGCCAGGACAAAAAGTCCCCACTGCCTTGGGCAATGCCCATTGTACTGTGCTGCCCTGGCATGACCCTGCCTCCCTGCTGCCCCTTGCTGCCCTTCGGGGCTCAGTGGGGTGCTGGTGGTCCTAGAGAAGCGGCCCAGGGTGCAGGACAAGAGGCTGCCCCCCCTGCCTGACCCTCGCTTGCCTCTGCCAATAGGAGAGCACGAGTGGAAAACTGTCAGCACAGGCATCGCCGACTGCTACTTCAACGTGACAGAGCTGCCCCCCGGGAGCACCGCCAAGTTTCGGGTGGCCTGTGTCAACAAGGCTGGGCAGGGCCCCTACAGCAACCCCTCGGGCAAGGTGCACCTCGAGGCAGCAGGTGAGCAAGCACCCTGCCGTGGGGCAAAGCCTGCGGCGATGCTGCACCGTAGCTCGTTCCCATGGGACGCGAAGCGTGGGGCAGCCGTGGGGCAGCGTATGGGGCTGCTTAGGTGCACGCTGCTATGGGCAGCTCTGAGTCCCAGGGGATTTTCCCCCCCAAGGAGTTTGGACAACGCGGTGCTGCCTCCATCCCGCTCCCGGCCTCCCCAGTGCCTGGTTCACACTTCCCTTTCCTCCCCGCAGACTCCCGAGCTGCCCCGGCCAAGAAGGACGTCGCT